TTCCGCACAAACTACTTTTAAATGTTTATTTTGAGATTATGCTTATTATTTTGGGATTGTAATATTTAAGTGGATTTTCTAAGTAGCTAAATATAATACAAAAGCGGCATGAAGCTATCTAATTAAGTATCCAATAACTATCTAAGGAATTAAGTACTCTGGGAAATCGGTCCAAATTGCCAAATTATTAAATTATTGCTTTAATTTTCTTTATTTCTATTTTAAATGGTTTTCTTGAAATAACTTTCCAAACAAAATACTTTCTATTGTAAGGGTTTATTTGGTGTGAGGGTTCAAATTATGGTGGTTTGAACCATGTGGCATTTAAATTGTGGGGTTTGAACTTTGAGTTCAAACCATGAATCTTTGGGTTTGAACCAGGGGTTCAAACCTGCCAAAACCAAAGACAGGGTGGTTTTTTTAGGGTTCAACACTGCATCAGAATTTATACGTTGAATCTTTTCATTTTAAACTAAATATTAGTTTTGTTGGACTGCATTCAAACTACTTTTTACTTTTTGCAAATTAACTCTGACTTGAACCCAAACCATAGTTCAAACCTTTAGAGAATCCTCAAACCATACATACGCTAAATGTTTAATTAAGCGAGTTTATTGATAAAAAAATGGCGTATTTAAAATGCGTATATAAGTTGATGTTTCCAAAATTTGCAACAAGTCTTTTACATAAAACCTCTCTCGCTTTTTAGAACTGATCAAGTTAACGAAAAAGGATATGGACTCCTCAGTGAGAAAAATAAGTTCCAAGATAGGAGCTATCAACTAAAAATTCTAACAACAAGAGATTATTGTAACATAAAAAATTCCATGCTGAAAAGTGTTTTCAATTTTTATTTTGATGTTCAAACTTTTAATTATGTATTTTAACCTTAATGTTTTTGGGAAAAAAATTATCTCAAAATTTCTCTTAATACATTCTCTTAAGCATATATATATATATATATATATATATATTTGTCTCGTGTTTATAATATGAAAATCAAATAGTAATAGAAAGGTTAACCTAGTACCTACCACATATGCTCCCGTGTTGACTTTGACACCATCTACAAGTAAGACCTTTCCATGTTACAATTTAGTTGATAATATAATAGAGATTTTTGTGACATTAGCATAATATCATGTTATAAGAAACCCAATACAAGTAGATGCATAATAGTATTATAGATCTTTTTAATTGGACTTAGTATGATAACCACTAATTTCACGTCTTTCTTGCGATGGAACATGGCTTGTTTTTTAGACTCAAAACAAAATTATAGAAGGAAGCAGAAGTAGAGGGACTCGTGCACATGGCCAAGGACCGGACCTAAGGATTAACGCGGTCTTGGGCATGAGAATCAACATGATAACAGAGATGAATAATACTTCAAAGGTAACATGAGTATGAAAGAGGCAAATCGACAAGTTCAACCAGACTTTGCCTTGATCAAGTACCGAATGAATTGAAGAGAGTACGATATATGATGAACATGTTTCGTGCAGAGCTAACCCTATAGATAGGCAGTGGTAATGCTCCACCTAACACTATGGCCGATTGCATTGACCGAGCTTTTAGAGCTAATTGTATCGCCTAGCTCAGGCGAATGAGGAACGGGCCAAGCTTTATGAGGTTTGCAAGAGTAAGAATCAAGAGAAATCTTTTGGAGATAATAGTAGGGGATGCCAGAATCTGAATCAGAAAGGACATGGAAATAAGAGGAAGGGAGGCCCTGGTATCAATAACCGCAATAGAAAGAGTCAAAAAGAGGGAATGGTCAACAACAGAAGAATGCTCATAGCTACACCTTATTCCAACTGTGGAAGGAAGCATCCTGGTCAATGATCACACTAAGCCAAAAATATGCAGTAAAAAAAAAAACTACGGCCCTTAGGGTGCGTGTGTTTGGAACTCGTTTTAAAATGATTTTGTTTTTTGTATGAAAATGAAAATGAAAACGTTTTCAATTTCAGACATAAATCATTTTTGAAATTGTGTTTGGTACGACTATCAAGAGATTATTTTCAGTATAAAAAAAATCATTAATGTCTTTCTCTCTCTGCTCGAGAGAGGAGAAAACGAAAACAAAAAATGAAAATAGTATAAAAAAAGTCATTAATGTCTTTCTTTCTCTGCTCGAGAGAGGAGAAAACGAAAACAAAAAATGAAAAACGACTAAAAGTCGTTTTTCATTTCTCTCTCGTTTTACACTAAACTAAAAAATAGTTTTCATTTCCGTTTTTTGTCTTTATTGCGCCAAACATCATTTTAAAAACGTTTTCATTTTTTATTTCTCGAAAAACATAAAAAACAAAAGCGGAATCAATTCCATACACGACCTTAGATTCCCTTCAAGAGCCATACAGTTCATATTGTACGTAGGGTTGATAGTACACGAGTTTTAGTGAACGTTTGGTTCATAGATTTAGAATCATGATTCAGAACTATTCTCGTTTTATGTGTGTTTTTTGTGAGAGAAAAGTACTGTAGAAAATCATGAATCATGATTCAGAATCAGAAATGAATATAGAAAACAAACATCCCATTAGTGTCTCTCTTTCCAACCTAATTAGGAAAAAAATAAAACAAAGGAGCGTACCTAAATATTGTAATAACTATCCAATTATAAAAATAAAAACAAATTAATCATCTAATACAACCGTACTTATAGATAAAGATTCACGTGCAACGTTTAAGATTGATATCAATTTTCATCCCGCTCAAAAAAGGTATATATGTCTGTTCACTTGTTCGTTTTCTTGTAGTAATAAAATTATAGCCAAAGAATGAGATTGCACCTTCAAAAAAAGATTTAAAAAAAAAGAAGATAAGATTGCTCCATCCTGAAGAATTTTTTTTCTCTATTATTCTAACTCTGGCAAATTGAAATTTGTGTTTGCTAACACTGTTTCAAATTGAAATTTTAGTTTGAAGCACATATATATATATATATATATATATATATATATATACACATATATTCTCGATTCCTTACGCATAGCTCTGATATTGTGTTGGGATTAATTTATTCATGCATGAAGTTCTACATATTGTCGCACCAAAACTACAAGAAACGAAGCCTTTAACAACGACAGAAATTGTCACTAAAACTCGTGTCATCATCACTATCATAGTTTTGACGTGACATGTCGTCGTTAAAAATTTATCGTTAAAATTTTTTTAGTCACGACACGTCGTCACTAAAAATTTAGAAACAAATCGGTGGAAATGACGCCAACAAAGACTTTTGGCGATGACGGTTTCAAAATTATCACACTAAAACTTTCAAAAATTTTCAAAATTAAGTTAGTTTATAGATGTTTTAGCGACGACACTGTTGTCAGTAAAAACTTATCGTTTTCATCTTTAGCAACTGCTATTGTCATCATTAAATATGTGCATTTATTCCCTTACTAATTTTTACAATTATAAAACTTTCAATTAAATTGTACAACGTGTAAATATATAAAATTTATACTTAATTGTATATCTTTACTTATAAATATACATAATTTATACTGAATTATACAATTGTCATTTTAATTCGGTAAATAGTACGGGTCGATTTAAAGACTTTGCATATATATATATATATATATAATAAGAAAAGTACGCCACTTGTTAAACTCATGCAGAGTATGTGAAACCGTGCAATTGGGCCAGGATATTTGTGGCCCAAAAAAAAATTAATGCCTTGGTGGACTAAAAAAAATGGCATGTTGCACATTAGCATGCTGAGAGTCCTTGAGTTTCGGTATTTAGGACTCAAATAAAAAAAAATAAAAATAAAAATTCATCAAACTTTATGTGAAAATAATAAATAATAAAATAAAAAAAGAGAAAAAGAAGGTTCACCACAAGACAATTCAATTTTCTCAAGATTAGGAGCAGTAAGACCTCGTTCATTTTATCGATTTAAATTTCAAGTTTTTAAAGTTAAAAGTTCTCAGAAAATATCACATCTAACATTTTCTACTATAGTTGAAAACTTTCAGAAAACATCACATCTCAGAATTGAAAACTTAAATTCGCAAAGTGAACGTGGTTGAAATCTACAGTGGTCACAAAAGTATTCCAAACGGACCCAATACCAACGGAATGAGGATAGTCCACCGCCGGCACACAATCTGATCACATGTCGAAATCAGGTGAAGAATTAGGGCTCATTTAGTTCATTGAATCGAGTTTTTAATTCGAGTTGAGATGTGACGCTATATGAGAGCTTTTTATTATAGCAAAAAAGTTAAATGTGACTGTTTCTGAGAGCTTTTTACTGTAGTAAAACTCAAATTCTAAACTCGAATCAGCGAAATAAACGGGTCTTAGTCAAATTCTTGCCCACTCAATCAATGCGTTGCAACAAAATAGAAGACAATCAAAACAGTATTTCAACGGTCAAAATTTCGGCCTACGGATTTTTGAGCCTAAACGATTGTAGAAAAAGATTTTGGCATATGCAATTACGTGCCTATGATCCGAAGACAGTGTCATACGGACCATTATTTTAGCGACAAAACCATTATTTTTCCGCCATTTTTTGGGGGTTAAATATATAGCAACGATACATATCGTCACTAAAAATGATTTTTAGCGCGTTATTTCCCCTCGTTCTGTAACATGAACTGTTTGTGGCTCGCCGTCGCTGAAACTGAGGCCCACAATATTCATTGATCCATGTTTTATCATTGACCTACGCATGTCGTCGCTAAATATGTTGTCCCTAACCGGTGTGTTTTCACATGCCTAGCTGATGACGACCATATATAATACAACAAGAACTTTTCATATTACTACACCTTTACGATTAAATACGAGAGAAAAGGTAATGAATGAATAAGGTACATGTAAGGATTAAAAACAAAGTGTATTTTTCCAACTGTGACGACCATATATGATACAACAAGAACTTTTCATATTACTACACCTTCACCATTAAATACGAGAGAAAAGGTAATGAATAAGGTACATGTAAGGATTAAAAACAAAGTGTATTTTTCCAACTAAGAGGGAATGCGAAGATAGAGAGGGATGGGATTGGGAGGAGTTGGAGGTGAATCCCAAACTGAGAAGGCACTGCTACTATTCATCCATTTCTCTGTCATTTTGGGATAATGACGATCAATTACATCTTTCAAGCTCTCAGTTTTGTTCACCCATTCAAATCCTTTCTTTGTGTACGTCTCCTCGTTGAAATAGCTCGTGAAGAACCTATCTGCTTCTAACCTCCTGCATATATAAGCACAAACTCATAAAGTGAGAACTTTATATTATTCATCAATATATATACATACATATACATAAGGAAATTCTTACGATAGGATTTGTTCTTTTCATTACACGTACGTACATAGAAACTGTTATTTTAATTATTTAATTATTTTTTTAACAATCTGATTTATGAATGTCCATGTTAAAAAAGTTTAGAGCACGTGTCTCAAACTGCTTTTATTTACTGCACTGTTTCTATTCATGAAGTAAACAAATAAAAAATTAATCCAACAGTTAAAACAACATTAGTAATCCATACTTAAAAAGGACAATTCTTACCCTGAAAATTTAAAAATTCCAAATTGCTAATATGAACATATGGATTGCACTAAACTAAACTAAGAAAATTACAAATATTCAATACAATATTATGTACAAACAATATATTATAATTAGCGGTTAACAAATAAGGATCCTCTAATAAAACTAGGGAACCCCATATTTAACAAAATGTTACGCATAGCTTCCAAATTAAAAATAAAAAAAGATAAAAGATAAAAATCTAATGGAGGCAAGAACAAAGACAATTACCTGGATGCCATTACTAGGAATATGATAAAAGCAGTTTCGCTAATGGCAAATCCTTTGATCTTCTTCTCTGCCATGAGTCCCACTAGAATATCAAGCTCTTCAACATCATCACCGTACACATCCTTGAGAATCTTAATTGCTTCATCATCATCCGTCAGATCTTCCCATTTCTTGATGGGTATAAGCAGTAATGCTCTCCTGAACTCATTGTACCTAGCAACACTCCTCTCTCTATCCCTATAAACTGCATGCGGCCAAGCCAGTCATTTTCACGTTAATTTTTGACAAAAGATATCAATTTAATGAATGGTGATTAGGAAAGAAAAAGTAAATGAGCTAATACACACACACACACACACACACACACATATATATATATATATATATATATTTGTATATATGTATATACATACGTATGATACGTATGCTAAATTACCTTCAAGAGCCGCCAGATCCACATGATCAGGCCTGTCTCTGCCATTTGGGTCTTGAGGTATGAGATCTCTGAGCCATAATGGATAGTTCCAAAGCTCTAAGGCTCCACAAGCTTGATGTCCCATTGAAACAAATAGCCTTGTAAACCCAATTTGTGATATGTTCTTTTCACCTTCTTGACCAATCAAATTCTTCATCGGAATCCTGTGAAAATACATGATCATTTAGGAATTTATCTTTTGTTAGTCAACTAAACTTTTGCTCACTAAGCCTAAGCACTCACGAGTATATCAAAACCTGCTTTGTTGAGCTAACGGGTGAGTTAAGACGTAGCATAATCTTACTAAGCATGTTGCAATTACTACGTAAATTTGTAGTAATAATGTAATTTTACATATTCGTGAAATGTTCCAAACAAAATGCTATATTATTTCAAATCCATCAAATTTATTTAAAGGTGATAATGGGGCTGATATGGATAGCAATCAAAACGAAGAAAATTCTAGCTAATATATCACAAACATATTAATCTTAATGAGTAACTACATACCTTTTAATCAAAGGTGGAGATTTGTTAGGCTCTGACTTGACAGAAATGTCCCTAACTTGCAGGTCATCAGGAAGAAGTGCGTGCATTCTGTAAACGCTAACAAATTCTTCAGTTAATGAATAAGGGACACCGTGATTATTCGGCTTTTTAAGGCCTACTAGGCCTCCCAAGATGGATCCTCCAACATGCCCAAATGTGTCCTTGAATTTCTTTCCAAGAAATCCGTACCTGAAAGTATACAATAGTTATGTAGGAAAAAGAAAAAATAGACAAATAAGTGCATGTATTTAGATTCTTACTCATTATTTTTGTAATGTATGTAAGATGCATAACTAAATCAGAAAGTTATCTACTTGGGTATCATTATGTATGTAAGATACATAATGTTGTATTAACAGAGGATAGTGTCTTACAGAAATATTAAATTTTAAAATCAATATAAAAATTTGATATTGTATTATACATGCCCTAATGGGACTGAGAAGGACAAATAGGTTGCGCAATTGTATTTGAGATTCGTGTAATAATATAAGTACGCGGGTTTAGTATAATTAAAGTCAGTGACGAAGCTAGAAAATTTTTCATTGGATCTGAATTAATTCAAAAGTTAAATTTATGAGTATAAATGAAACGTTTTAAAAAAAAAAAAAAAATCTCACGTGATTAGAATAGTTTAAGGGGAGGGAGGAGCAAAGTAAAGGAAAAAATGTGGTTTTGTCACTGATTAAAGTAGTAATGCCTTAACTAACAAAATTGTTTCCATACCAATACTTTTGAGTTGAGTTTTTTTTATGTATTCTTACCAATTACCGCGCATGCCGGCAAGTAATGTGTCTGTTTTGAGGAGCTCCACTGTCCAATCTATTGTATGGACTTTCGCAATCACAGCTGAAGTCACTAACCTCGCGTGCCTATATAAATCCTCATCGTCTAAATGAGGATATTCTTTCTAAAACAATATATCAACAAAGGAACCAAATCAGATTGGATTAATTATTGGGAATTATGTGGTAAGAAAAATCTTCTGTTTTGTAATTAAGTTTTAGAATGTTGGGAATCAGATTGAAAAGAATATATTGGAAACTAAAACACAATGTGAATATGATGAAAATTTGACAAAAAAATTCGAAACATCATATTAACTTATCAAAAGAAGTTCTTAAACTTGAAGAGGGAGTTGTATCCACTGAGAAGAAAAGCTTTCTCTCTATTCAGATGTTTTGTCTTTTCGATTATAAATTCTTTTCATTTTCTTGTCCTTTTTGTACTATTTGTATTTTCTTTGTCTATTAATAAGTGGAGTGATGATCTTAGTGTGGGAGTGGTGCCACCCTAATCAGGATCTGATTTATCATCAAATGCTAGATTTTCACTTTCATATAACTTAGAAAAGAAGAGGGAGTACTTGTATAGGAGGATATATATATATATATATATATATATATATATGAATTATGTGTATTCTTAAAAGTCAATTAACTTGATAATAATACTTAGGGTTGCAAGCTTAGTTTAGCAGTGAATATACACCTTACCATTAATATTACGATTTAAAATTTGAAATCCCCACCCTAATTTCAAAACAATTATAATAATATTAATTGTAATAGTACCACCCGACCCTCATATATAAGTTACTATATCATTAAGTTTACGTTCATTTAACTGATTCGAGTTTTTAATTCTAGTTTTGCTACAGTTAAAAATTTTTATAAAAAGTCACATCTAACTTTTTTACTACAGTTAAAAGTTCTAACATAAAATTATATCTCAATTCGAATTTAAAAACTCGAATCAGCAAACTGAACGAGACTTAAGAAATACAAAACACATACCTTGAGGGCATCACAAACAGCGTTATGCTCCTTAACAAACAGAGCCTGAAGTGCTGAGAGTCCAGCCCAGATGTTACTCACATCTCCCGATAAAGGAATTCCGTCTTGGTCGTGCAGGAGAAGGCCATCTTCTGAGATCTTGAGTTTACCATCTTTGAAAGTTCTCAATTGCGTTGATCTCTCTTTGTTGCTTCCATAGATAGCGCTTCCATCCCTTCATTTTAATTACCACGTACCAATATGTCAAATTATATAAAGTATCATTTTCTTTTTCCTCTTTTGCTGGATTATATATTGAATATCTTTTCCTTGTAATTAAATATTGGGCAAGAATCTTTGCTACTAAAAAGAGTTGTCCACAAGACTAACAAAAAAAAATTATTATTATTAAATATTTGCTTTTTGTAATTGTGTGAATTTTTGTTTTGCAAGAAAACTCATATCCATTCATGCTGTCACAAAAACAAATACTAATTATATCGATAGAGTTTCAACTGTTTTTCATCACAAGAGAAGTGTTAAATTATCCAAGTAGTTAACCAAGTAATTAGTACTAATATTTTCTTTTCTGCCGATATTTACCACAGGCCACTAAGTAATTTGCATGTATATAAAATAATATATGTTTATGTATATATATGTATACAATATATATGTATATCTATATGTATGCATATACACATAGATATATGTATGTATGAATGTATGTCTGTATACATATATATGTAATATATATACAAATATATCTATGTGTGTATATATAAATTAAAATATATGTGTTTCGGATTCGTTGGGAACATTTAAATAATAAAGGGTAAAAGGTAAAAGGTTAAATTATAAAACAAAAATCTTGTTATACAATAGCACCTTTGAACTTGACTGATAACAATAGCACACTCAAAGAATACAAATAGAAAGCAAGATAATATCTGAGTATGAACTGAGGGAAAAGTCCAACTCCTAGTTTTGAGTAATAGAGGTAATTGTGAGAATGGTGCTACAACAAAATAATAATAATAATAATAATAAAATAGCTAAAAAACTTTTAGCGATGAGTTTTAATAATTTAGCTAAAATTTTCAGTATGACGAACATTTTGTTTATTTTTGCCTCTTTAGCTATAAGTTTTCATAATATCATTTATTAATCCATCTCAAAAGCTTAAACTCTTAAGAGGTATGCCAACAATAATTTTTATTCTTTAACACAAGCTTAATCTCTTAGGAGGTGAGTCATAATAGTTTTTATTTTTAACACTCTCCCTTACGTGTGGGCTAAATGGGCAATCGTGACGTGATAATAATTTAAATAGGAATAAATAGTGCAAAGACGGGGGGTTGAACTCAGGACCTCTCGTTCTGATATTATGTTAGTTTATCAATCCATCTCAAAAATTTAAGCTTCTAGGAGGTGAGTTAATAATAATTTTTTTCTTTATGGTGTGTGGTGTTCTGTTTTGGCTTGGTTGAACTCAGGACCTCTCGTTCTGATATTATGTTAGTTTATCAATCCATCTCAAAAATTTAAGCTTCTAGGAGGTGGGTTAATAATAATTTTTTTCTTTATGGTGTGTGGTGTTCTGTTTTGGCTTGGTGAGGTGCTTAATTATAGGCCAGGAAAAAACAGCTCGTGCAAGGTTGACTGAAATCAGCAGCTTTCTTGCACAAGGTATGAAATAGGATAAAACTAAAACATGGTTGGGTGTCCTGCTTAGGCATCTTGTACAAGGTCATCAGAGCTAATAAGGTTGTACAAGATTTCTTGTACAACGTTTGACCATCGTGTGGACTATGTACAGGGTTCATTTGGTTGTTTGGTTTGTAAGGGGTTCATTTGGTTTGTACAAGGTTGGTTTCGTGCAGTGTTTGAAGAAGGCGAACCTTGTACAAGAATGCACAAAGCTCACAATAGAGGATGCACAGCTGTTTGAACAAGGTCCATTCTTAATCACCTTATTCTCTCACTAGGTTAAACGTTGTTGGATTAAAACCACACCAGTCAATCCTCAAATATTTCTCACTCATTACTGATTTCACCCTCTGAATCAGTTTTCCTTATAAACAATATGCAGATATATATGTATTATATAAATATAAATTGATGCATATATTATGTGTGTGTGTGTGTGTATGAGTACTTTCTTACCACCAAGGTGTCCGAATGTTCTTTGAGCCAGTTTTGATTTCATAGAAATTAGTTGGAACTTCCTTTGTTTGATAGAACCTGAAAGACTTGAGGGGGCACTCATTCGCAACTTCTTTTGGAGCAGTCAGCTCAATCTTCAATAATTTTGTGAAAAGAGACAAAAAAATAAAATTAACACATGAGAAGAATTTTAAGCAACCGCCATTAAGATTCAATTCTGAAGCTTTTTACATAAGGAATAAAAAAAAAAAGAAAATGTTGCAGTTTACAACGAAAATTAACCTGATTTGTATCCTCTAGGTGATTGACCCAATCATGAATCATAAACTGAATCCAAGAAGCTGCTATGACGTTGAATTGTTTTCCTGTATCTTTGTAATTTCTTCTTGCTAAAAGTTTTGTGGCAATCACCATTGGATCTGGCCTCAATAGCTAGAATTAATCAAAGAGTACTAATCAGTTCCAGGAAATTTATTGAAGTGATAAATTGTAAAGTTTCACAAACTCCTCGCGTTCTAAGACTTCTAAGATGGTATTGGACATGGAATATTGAAAAAATAGAAAAATTATTCTTGTATATATGTGTGTGTGTGTGTGTGTGTATGCATGTATGTATCGTAAACACGTATCTTCAAGAAGCACAAAAGTACCTTATCTTTCTGATCAACAGGAAGAATGTTCCTGCCAAAGAAACTTCCCTGGCCTCCAGCACCTTCATTGAAAGGATCGTTATATTTTCCATCAGCCGTCCGGTACGGATAATCAGTCGGGTTAAACCGGACGCCGACCGGTGTTTCACCTACGTTGAACAGGTTGTACTCCTGATGAAGGTGGCGGCGGAGAGACAGATATGCTAGCCCCAAAATAACAGGCAAACGGTGCCATATTCCCAACCTATCAATGGAGTGTACAATCTGTATGATTGCAAACAAACACGTCCAAAAGTAGACAGTAATATTAGTAAGGAGTTTGGACGTCAAAACTTTTTATATACATACTACGGATGAAATGCATTAATATATATATATATATATTTGGAAACAGATAGAGATATATTTAGTAATATAATAACAAAGTGGTGGATTAATTACAAGGAAAACTAAGACATCAATGAACGACATCTTAGTGATGGCTGCATGGAAGTCTGGATGGACGTAGCCATGCAGAATTTTGTTCCATAGGTCTCTGATTAAAGATAGCACTGCCATGTCTTGCTCTCTGGTGATGTAAAGTCTTTGTTATTGCTTAAGGTGATTGGAGCCAAACCTACCAAGCATTATTAGATTTATAGGTGAATAAAATATCTTACTATGCATTAATGACATTAATAATAGTTAATCGACAACTTGCAGATGATGTTTCCTGTAGGTTTCATTATAACCTTTGTGGACCGTATTTTGCGCACGTGTTAAGATAAGGTTGAAGGTTAAGATTGACTTGGATTAAAATTAAAAAAAGTACTTGTATTGGGAAAAAAAATATTCATGCACTTTTATGGCTTTAAATCCTACAACGCGAAAACCTTAGTGTGCGTTTAGTTGGTGAATTTATGCAATGATTCGAATCATAGTTCGTGGTTCACTACAGTATTTTCTCTCATAAAAAACACACGTAAATTGAAAATGGTTCTGAATTATAATTCTGAATCCACAAACCAAGTATTACGAAAAGTAGAGACAAATACCCTTTTTTAGAGTTTTACTCTTACTCTTAATTAATACTATTTAGTAAAAGAAATATATTAGTCAAAATGTATTAATCAATAATAAAAAGTAAAAATCCATACCCATGAATTTTTAAGAGTAATTTTAATAATTTTTTCCATCATATAATTTTTATTGTTTTAGTCTAATTAAGCCTACATAGTTTTACTTTTAAGCTTCACTCCAAGTGACATCATAATCTTAAATGGCAATCTCCATCCCCGGGCCAACTGAAACTGAATTATGGATGCCCCAATTCGTGATGGTGTTGACTATGTTGGGCTAGGGGCGGTTTTTCGGGTCGATTTCGGGTGTATTCTGGCTTGCTTCTCATGGTAATTAATTATATAGATTCATCTTTAATGTGAAAACTAAAACTTAAATATTTTTTTTCTTTTTAATATTGATCAAAACTTGTTTAACTTCGACTGTTATATATCTTATATTATTTGTCATCACGTTAACTCATTCTTTTAATGGTAATTATGCGCGTTCTTAAAACTAAAACTTAAAATATATGTTTTTTTTTCCTTGCTAATATTGGTTAAGCAAATTAATTATAGTGGATAAATTACGAATGCTTGAAATCTAAATCTAGGAATATTTGCACTTTTTTCTTTCTAATATTGATAAAAATATAGTTCTAAATAAATTTGTGTGTAAATTCGGTACAAGTAAATTTTGAGGAAAAACTGTAACAACTACAAACTCGTGACTAACTACAAACTCGTGCCTAAGGAACGCGTCACATGCTAATTAATATTTCTAAATAACATATTTTCTAAACATATTTTAAGTGAATAGCATATTTTTCTTTTACTTTTTTTGGCTAGTACGGACATGACAACTCCAAACAGAAGACGTACACGTTTATTTTTGGCTACAAACATACTACAAGAGTAACATTGCACAACATCACGAGTTCTTTTGGGGGGGGAAAAAAAGTCACAGAGAACTTTTTATTGGCGTATATGAAAGAGGAAAAACCCTAGTAACTGGACATTGATTCTGCTAAAATATGATTTAATATAAGAGAAAAAAATACAAAAAAACTCTTTTCGGTTATGAGAACTGTTTGTCCTAATTTATACAAATTTAATCTCTTCAGGATAATGATTATTTTGTAGACTAAATATCAAATGCAGGAAAAATATATAATTAAATCATTGCAATCTGATCACTTTTTTATCCCAGTTCTTTGAATGTGGATTTTATATATATATATATATATATTGAATCCATTGGTCATCGACATGGACTGGTTTTGTCCATTGTTGGCGGCTGCTTTTGGGAAACAATGAGCGATTGGAAACCTCCAAACAAGTCCCCAGCTTATTATACCAATCTTGATTTAACAAAATAACGAGAGTCGACAAGTTTGAATAAAGAAATTAGAAACATTCCCGCCGCCTCTGTAGAAGAGGAGTACGACTATGCGTGCCGTGATGAACAACAAACGTTTTGCCCTCTAGAATGCAGATATTCGGACAAATTTAATTGAATTTTTTTTTTTTTTTTTTTTTTTGGCTTTGTCTCATTATTAAGAGTAAAGATGGACTTTCTTTGGATCTCGATTTATGGGGTTTTTCCATTGATAGTAGTGGTTTGGTTAGAGTTATTTGTGTACTTAATAATGACGTGCCTATTTGATTTTTTTGATTTTAGAACTCGACATGTGCTTCTTCAATTCTTTAGAATGTATTATTTAAATTCACCGGTGGTTAGAATTTAAAGTTTGAGTCAAACTAAATAAGCCGGCTCAAAATCCATTACTATTGGTTCGATCATAGCTCTAACCCCGAGTCCGGTTGGGTTGATGCTCTAAGGTCAAAAATATTTTTGAGCTAGGCCGGCCTTAAGATCATAGCTCTAACCCCGAGGCGGGTTGGGTTGATGCTCTAAGGTCAAAAATATTTTTGAGCTAGCCCGGCCTTAAGAGCTTTTATCATATATATATATATATATTAAGATTTTCTTTGTAAAAGTCCAGGCCGAGCCGGCCCTAGTCCTAGCCCGTCAGACTTTGTTGTCGGACACCAAGCAACACTGCAGCTCACAAATATTGATGAATAGAGCAGCGACCATGTAAAAGTCCAGGCCGAGCCGGCCCTAGTCCTAGCCCGTCAGACTTTGTTGTCGGACACCAAGCAACACTGCAGCTCACAAATATTGATGAATAGAGCAGCGACCATGTAAAAGTCCAGGCCGAGCCGGCCCTAGTCCTAGCCCGTCAGACTTTGTTGTCGGACACCAAGCAACACTGCAGCTCACAAATATTGATGAATAGAGCAGCGACCATGCTAGGAACTCGAGACTCACCTCATAAAAGTGTCTATTTATATATATATATATATATATATATATTTATAAGAAATTTTTCAGTCCAGCGGCTATTCCAATCCCGCAAAGGTCACTTGTTCGCCCGTGTAATACTATACGTACATTCATGTAACAGTCATTTTGTTTAAGTGTCATACTCAATAAAATGTAATCTGTCATCATGTTACACGTACTTGCTTCAGTAGTACTATTTTAAATCTAAAAATTATAAATTTATATGAACAATATTACATTTGCCAGTACCGTACGACAGTCGAATTTAAGACCATGCTTATGTTTATATATAAAATCACGAGAAGAGCAACTAGCAAAGAGAACTGAAAACATCCCAAATGTTTATGTAGTACTTTTTGCACTAAATGTATTTCCCTTATAGATAATATAGTTGAACTATATAATAGTACCTGGACTAGAGATTTTAGTCCAAAAATTTACCATAGATGATTAGTTAATACTTCAAGTGTTAAAGTATAAAACTATTATCAGCTCACCTCTTAACAGCTTAAGCTTTTAAGATGGATTGGTAAATTAACATGGTATTAGAGAGGGAAGTCTTGAGTTCAAACCTCCATAATTACACTCTATATTCATATTTAAATTATTATCACGTGTTGGATTCTTAATATATTTCGGGCTAATTATCAAATATTCACGTGTTAGGTTTTCTAATTAATTTAGCTACATAATTACTTGTTGTCCAGCCCACGCGTGAGGAAAAGTATTAAAGTATAAAACTATTGTTGGTCCACCTCTTAACCGTTTAAGCTTTTGAGATGGATTGGTAAACTAAACAATCCAGAGTGTAAAACTTGTTTCCAATATTGCATGTTATTTATAGGCTTAAAGCATTCTTTATATATTTTATAATCTAAACAGTTTACGCTTTCTATAAATGCTTAATGCTTTTTTATGTAAAAAAAAAAAATGATAGAAGATAACTATTAATTTTAGAGATTATTAACATATCCTAATTAAATTTACACCCACTAACAAAATCATCACACGCCAGATCTCCCACTCAAATTTACCAATAAAATAAAAATAAAATACAAAAATGCTATTAGTTTGTGAATGACGTTCATATAATCAATCTTCCTATGAATATGGCGTTAAATAAACTGATGAGACTTCTTTGAAATTTCTTTCCTCTCCTACTTTCTTATTCCTTTTTGCTCCTTACCATATTCATTTTGAGGTTCTTGAAGTTCTAAGTCCACACATTAATTAAACTTTGTCTTTTTCTATGAGTATAAAGTTGACAAGAACAATATATGTGGTGGGAGTAATTGGACCAAACACAATTCAAGAATGGAATTCAACGAAATTGGTCATACAAACTACAAAGACAATATTTATAGAGGAAAAAAAAAATGGTTTGAGAGAAGAAAAGTCAAGAAAATCATATGATAAATTAAGTTCTATGATACACGGTATAAGACCATGTCCACGGTAAGGCGTTGGCAACAAAAGATATAAAATAATATAGCATGATATGTTAAATTCGACTATGTGTTAAAGTTTAATGGGTGTGAAAACTGTTTTTACTGTATTTCAGTCATGCCTACAAATTCTAGGGAACAGTTTAATAAGGAAAAAAAATTGAATTAATATTTTTACAGCTATTTTTAGGAATGTTTATATAGAGGAAAAATAGGAAAGCATGATAACAACACTATTTTATCACTAAGTGTAGATTGTCAAGTTAAGACTTTGTTAAACAAGTGACGATCCTTTGCATCATTACATGGCAAAGATAACTTGGAAAGTATAACCAATTTCAACCAAGAAAATAAAGATAAGGTATCGAATTTTTATTTGATATCTTCAAGGGCTAGTAGATCCACATGGTCGGGCCTGTCTGTCTCTTCAATCTGGCTGATCTTGAGGCATGATGTCTTTAAGCCATAGTGGATGGTTCAAAAGCTCCAAAGCCCCATTTGCTTGCTGACCCATTGAAACAAGTTTGTCCTGCAAACCCAATTTGTCACAAGGCTTTTTCTCCAACAAACTAGTTTATCTCCAACGTGCGATGCACTTAAGAGATCATGTTGGGGAGTAATCCGTATGTTACGTTTTAATCACTGTGTCATTATTTAAAGTACATAAAATCTAAATATAAAATCCTAATAAAAAATGAAAAAAAAAATAGTTTTAGGCAAGAAGAAAAAAAAAAGAGTCAAAAAAAAGACTAAAATG